TTCCCACTGCTGGCGAGCTGCTCTAGATGATCTGCCAGGCTGGATCTGAGAGATGGGGTCCCCCAGGCAGAAACTGGGGCTGATGTTTCTCATTGTTGTGCCTTTAACCCTCAGGGTGACTCGGGGGGCCCGCTCATCTGTAATGGCGTGCTTCAGGGTCTCACATTCTGGGGCAGTGATCCCCATGGCCAGCCTGAAAAGCCCGCCCTGTATACCAAGCTGGTGTCCTACTGGAAGTGGATCAAGGACACCATGACGGCCACCCTTGTGTGCCCTGCCCGGCCTGTTGGCACTAGAGTTCTCAGGGTCAGAGCTGGGTTTCTATGTTCTACCCAGCTCTGCTGCCATTTCTTCCTGTGACTGTCTCTCTCACCTCCTCAGAGTGATCCTGGAAATGCATTGGTCTGCAGTGATGTCCTCCAAGGAATAAGAGCATTGGGCCAAATCCCTTGTGACCACCACATGTTTCCCGATATCTTCACCAAAGTGCCATCCTATGTCAAGTGGATCAAGGACACCATGGCGGCCAATCCCTGAGTGCCCTCCCCTACCTGCCAGACTATTAAAATGGAATATTACACAACTGTGCTATCATCTTTCCAGATGGGGTTAGGGGACCCAGAAGTCAGTGCCCAGCTCCCTAAGCCTAGAGCTCCCACGCTCCTGAGCTGGATGCTGCACATGGGGTCATGGCAGACCCAGGAAGGATGGGCAGACAGAGGTGTGTGGTGGTGGTTTTCGGTCTTGGGCAATTTGCCCCTTGGGTGGATGTTCCACAACGAAGGGAGATGTGTTCTCATGCAGGGGGTACAAGGACACTTGGGGGAAGTGAGTGGTGCGGCGTGAGTGCGCTGCGGAGTTGGGGCCGCGTGGGCTCACCTGGGGGAGTGGAGAGTGACACGTGGTCGGCGCCATCCAGGGAGCACTAAGCAGGGGCTGGAAGTGGAACACAGCAGACACCCAGCCGCTGCGCACCCTACGCCAAGCCTTTGTGAGCAGTGTGAACAGAGGCTGGGGCACATTAGTCAGTGTGCTGTGCTGTCCAAAGGCCAGACGTCCCGGGGCAGTGAAGCAAGATGTTGAGAAAAGGAAGCAAATGTCCAGAGACAGCTCGTGAGAGAAAGGATTAACTAAGGCAATAAAAGAAAATGATAGTGTTAACTGCAACTTGCTAGCAGAGAGTAGTCCTCTAGAAGCCACATTAAAAGAAAGGCCTACTGGGCGTGGTGGCGCACCCCTGTAATCCCAGCACTTGGGAGGCTGAGGCAGGAGGATTGTTTCGAGTTTGAGGCCAGCCTAGGCTACAAAGTGAGCTCAAGCCCAGCCTGAACTGAAGAGCGAGACCCTGTCTCAGAAAGACCAAAAAGAAGTCCCTCAGCAAAAGCCCGCAAGCAGCACCTACTCATGGGACCTACCATGGGACCACTTGGCAAATCCCTCTGCGGGGTGAGGTGCGTGTGCTGTGCTGCATGCAAACCCTTCTGTGGGGTGAGGTGTGTGGTGTGCTGCACTGTTCTAAGCAAGTCCGGGGGGTGGAGGTGGTACTTAACAGCAGCATCTCTGAGGAAGTCCAGTGGCTTTGAACAATATTTGCTAGAAAGTAGTCAGCGTGTTCTTCGGTGGCTGGCTGGTGTACAGCACTACAGTTTTCTTTGGTGCCCGACTATTGTAGTGAGGGCTTTTAGTATTTTACTAGCTGTCTGACACTGCCATCATTAGCTTGCTTTGTCCAGCTGTGTGACGAGTACCCTGAGGAACAGCTGACTCAGAGTATAGGTAGGATTTATAGGAGGTCTTTACAGACAGTACTAAACTGACTGGTTTCCAGTGTCCCTCAGATATACTTATGCAGACATTGTGTTCCTGTAAACCTAGCATTCCCTGGACCACGCAAGAGTCCTGAAAATACAGAAGAGGCATTTCAGGGACATGGTGTTTAATGTTCTTGTTTGTCCTGGGGATTGTCAATACACACTGACAAAAAGTACAAGCCCACATACAAGTACTCAGTGTGCAAGAACACAGTCAGGGAAGAGACGTCCTCCTGTGGGAGGAAAGGGAGAAAATCTTTGGGGTGAAAGGGAGTGTAAGTTATTGATTGAGGTTTGGACTCTATGACTGAATCAGGGCATATAAATGGATGGATGAGTCTGCCCTGAACTACAGATCTGACGTCCCACAACTAAGGAGGACAGTTCACTAAACCCTCTGCCCATGAAGGCCAGAGAGAGTGGCAAACTGAGCCAGGATCACATTCAGTAAGGCCCACCAGAGACACAGCGGGGAAGAAAACCTGAAGACACAGCACAGGGCAGGGAGGACCGCAGCGATGGCAGGAAGGAGATAAGAGACTGAGGGAAAAAGAGACACATCTCCAAGGGCTGGAGAGAATGTGAATCCTGGAGATTGAAGAAGGCAGAGGCAGCTTCCTGTGAGGTCTCTCAAACTGGGCTTGGACATTCTTCCTTGGTTGCTGCATTCTACTCTAGCTCTGGCCATGTGAATAAGCACCATCGATCATGGCTACTCTGAGGGGAGCCTGGACGGAAACCTGCAGCTTGATGCCACTCTGCCCTTGTGTCCACCGTCTCCAGTACAAGAAAGCGCAGACTGGGTGTGTAACTGAGGCTCCCTAAGTCCCACAGGAGGCAGGATCCCTAGCCCTGCTCAGGACAGTGGTGCCGCTGGTCTCTCTCTCTCTCTTTTTATTTTAAAAAGAAAAAAACCCCCAAAATTTCAAACCAAGATAATAGGAGGGTAACAATGGTTAATACATTGTGTATTGTTATCTTTAAATTAGGTCAGAATACAAGATATTGACTTTTACTTGTCCAAACAATATTAGCACAAACCTTTCTTTTCAATGAACTATAAGAAATTAGTAGTATAAATATCTTAACTAATATCTATCCATGTATCTATGATTTGCTTTTCCCTTCCTTTTTTTCTCCAATCCCCAAGCCAGTTTCTCTTTCCTTTTGAAGTTTCCTCCCATTTCACAATATCTACTGTACATTTTGGGTCTTATTTACTCTTTCGGCTTCTCACACCAGGCAGACAACACAATGTTTGCACACGTACATCTGGTTTATTTCACTTATAAGTATGGTCTTGAGTTGTATCCATTTACCTATAAAAGTCTCCAGTTTATTCTTCTTTATGGCTAATACTCCACTGTATAAAAAGACCATATCTCTTTTTATCAATTTCTCGGTTGTTGGGCATTTGGGTTGTTTCTAAGATCTAGCTATTATAAATTGTGCTGCTGTAAACATGGGTGCACATATACTGCTGTGGTATGATGTTTTTAATTCTTCCTGAATCTGTCTCTCTTTTGTGTGTTCCGTCCTGTGTTAAGGTGTCCCTACCTCTCTCTCCCCAGTTCTCTGGATTTTCCTTCTCTTTGATGCTATCTTTCTTCTCTGCAGCCTCTGGCATCCTGCTGTGCATGGTCTCTACCTCTCTGTGCCTGTCTCTGTCTTTCTCTCTCCCTCCTTCCTTTGTCCTCACTTTTCAAAGATGGCTGGAAGGTTCTGTATGACCCTTTCTTCCTGGCTCAGGCTGTCCAGCCCTTCACGTCTGTCTGTCCCTCACTGCCCCATTTTTTAATGTCACAGCTTCTGTTCCCCTAGGGCTGGAATGAATATCCCATAATATGACTTGTCTCTGCTCAGTGCCTGTTCAAAAATTTGCTGATTTATGGATTGGGACTTCTGTGTTTTGTTAGATTCTCTTGAGTTCTTTATATATTCTAGATATTAATCCATTTTCAGAATTGTAGCTGGCAAAAATTTCTTCTAGTCTTAGGCTGTTTTCTGTTGGTTGTTTCCTTTGTTGTGCAGAAACTTTTACATTTGATGCAGTTCCATTTGTTGAGCCAAGCTATTAATTCTCACACTTCTAGTCCTATTCAGGAAATTTTTGCCTGTCCCTATAACTTTAAGTGTTTCCTTTATGTTTTCTTTTAGCAATTTTAAAGTTTCAGGTCTTATACATAGGCCTTTGACCCAATTTAAATTGATTTTTGTTACTGGGTAAGATATGGGACTCTAGCTTCACTGTTCTACAAATGGATATCCACTTTAGCCAGCATCATTTATGAAAGAAGCTGTTTTCCCCCAATGTTTGTATTTGGCTCCTTCATCCAGAATTAGGTGGTTGTAGTTGCCTGTGTTTGTTCTGGTATCCTCTACTCTGTTTCATTGGTCTGCATGTCCCTAATAGTGTCAGGATCATGTTCTTTTTGTGACTATGGCCTGGCAGTATAATTTGAAATTGAGTAATGCCTCTAGTCTTTCTGTTTTTGATTAGGACTTTTTAGGTAGTTCTAGGTTCTTTTCTCTTTCCATATGAATTTTAGGGTTGTTTTTCCAGTCTTTAAAGAGTGTTATAGGGGTTTTGATGGAGATTGTGTTGAATCTTTATACACACACACACACATACACACAGAAGAACATGGGAAAACAAGGCAACAAAAGGATGCCAGGGTATCCCAAACAGATCTAGAGGGTATCAGGTGAGTTAGAAGCAACATCAGTTAGCAGAGCTTTACAAATTGATTAAAGAAGAGGCAGAGAAATTTGGTGAGTCCAAAGAGCACATGACCCCAAAGTTCATGGGATTATCATATAAAATGATTAATATAGACATGGGAGAAATGAATAAAAAATTAGATATGACCAAAAAGGTTCAAAATATAAATAACAAATTTACCAAAGATATAGACTCCATACCTGTCAGGTTAATAATAGGCCTTAGTTATTGCAGGCTGGTTAGGTCCACAATCTCCCCAATGAGTGTACAGCAAAGGCTAAATAAAAAGAAACAAATGGAGTGATTTCAGAACTCCAGGAGGATCAAAGCCCTCTCACAGAATTCGAGATTCACTCAGGGCTAAGACCAAGACCTTCTCTAGGTGGCCCATATTTATTTAGTTATCAGAAGATGGGAGAGGAGTACTCAAGAAGGGCAGAACCACTCAAGGACTTCTCCAAGCAAGGCATTAAATTAATCCACCCAGGAGTGAGATGCTGGAGGCTACAGTCTTTATCTAGTTGAGGTTGGAGCCAGGTGTCCTTGGCTGTGACCTTGTCTTATTGTTTTAGGCTTCATGGCTTCACCCACCATTACAGGCCTCAGTAGGGATCAGTGACTCAAAGAGGTTCACTTACTGTGAGTCCACCACCTGTCTCCAGACAAGGAGCCTAGGCCTTGGGCAGACTCACAAATAAACATGAAAAGCCAATTGGTTAATTTAAGTCCTGCTCAGGGCTGCTTCACTGTGGTTTCCATCACATACAAAGGTATTAGACAGAAAATAAAAAATTGTATAGAATTCATAAATTGTAGAAAAGAACAATATGAAGACAGGGCTTCTGAAATTGAGGATAAAATTGTGAGTTTTAATGATTTCCTCAGAGAAGCCTTATAAAAGATGAGAACAAGAAAAAGTCATCCACTATCTACTAAACAATGCAAGAACAGTAACCTAAGGCTAAATGGAATTAGAGAGAAACTAGAAGACAGTATG